AAGATCACAGTGGCAATTGTATAACCAGCAGAAAACACCAGAGAGATCTGCCAGGGGACACCAGTTGAGCTTTCTCTGACCCCCCGATGTTTACTCTCTGCCCCAGCCCCTACCATCACTTTCTGCCTCTGGAAAGTCAAAGGAAAGAGAAGCAGAGGATAAGACAACCTGAGTATCAACACAGAGGTTCACGTGGGAAGGGGCAGCGCAAAGGATCATTCTGCATCAGTCAGTGATGATCTACTGCCCTTTGAACCTGACACTTCCTAGAGCTACAGGCTTTAATTCTCATCTGTGTGGTTGATTTTTTAATTAAGTAGGAGGCCTTTATGTGTTAAAAGCATTACATTCTGAGTATTTTGCCATTTACCAGTTTGAACACAAGGTCCTGTGCGCACAAAGAGGTATTTAGTGACAGATTCGCGTTCAGGGTCAGAAGGGCTTTGGGGACCCTTGAAAATGATCTCATGTGGACTACAAGATAGCATCAGGTTCTGGAAGCTCATACGCTTATCCGGAGAGCATGTGGCTCTCTGAAGTCTGAAGAAAGAACTTGTCACCCCCGACTACGCTGGCTCTTCCTGTCCCAAGGCCTGTGTAGCACGAGCAATAGCTTCCTGGGCACTAAGTTTGGACTTTTCTTACCGACACGAGCTGTAAGCTGAGCGTGCTGGCTGTGATGCTAACTTGAGAGACTCGCGGCACCTTCACTATATAAACTGAAGCAGCTCCAATCAATCCCACAGGAGCTAAAGGCTAAGTTTCACTCGGCAGGTGCTAAGTAAAATTAAATCGATAAACATAAGGAAGACACAAAGTGCTAGGATGGAATCAGCTCTCCTTGACTGAGAGGAGGAAGGTGGTGATGACGGCGGGTGGCAGGAGGCATCTGCGGGGCTTTACTACTGAGAGGAGGCGGGTGGCAGGAGGCATCCTCGGGGCTTTACTACTTCCAGGGAGACTGCAAGAGTAAACATCACACCCAGCAATGGCTCGCTTTGTTCTCAACATGAAAATTTTAATTCAGTTCATTTAGAAGACCCTAATCTTCTCTCTTCTCTTATTAAATGCACATCATTTACAATTTCCTTACAGTCTGAGGGAGCCGTCGGGAGCAGTACACAGCAGCACATCTGACAGGGTCCTCTCACCTATAAGAACACAGGTAAGGGGAACCCAACAGGATGCCCAGAGGGAAGGGGAAGAGCAGAGGGCAGCTACACTTGACACAAGAAAAGTGATTCCCAGCTGTGCAGTAAGAAAAACTGGGAACTTCTTTTCCCAAGTGCCCTGGCTGGCTGTTTGCAGCCTGCACTTTCCAGTTGGTCCTTTCTCCTTCTGGACGCCTGGGAGCTACTGTCAATGGGTCAGAGTTCCACTGAGTGCACAGTTCAATAAATAGAAAGGAATCCGGATTCTGGTTTAACAGCAAAGTGCAATCTGATCTTCTATCTATATAAGCACGAAGCTATTCCTGGAGGCTCAGAGAATTAGTTACAGAGCCAGGGTCACTCACACTTTGCAAATTTAGGTCAGTTTCTCTACCCTGCTCCCCTAAAGCAGGAGCTCCTCTCAACACCCCTCACTCACCATCGGCTAGAGAAAAGCTCCTGAGCCCCCCTTGTCAGTGTGTCTTTGTGTAGGGACACAGCACTTTGACAGTGTAGGAGTCCCAACACCTCAGCCCCACCAGGTTCCACTATGCACCAACATGAGAGAGAGATGGGGAGTTGATACAAACAGCAGAAACTTCAGATCAATTTTATTCAATATTCAGTCAAAGGAATCCTCTCCTTGGAAAAGCTCTCTGAAATGTCCGTTCACATCGGGAGCCAGAAAACAAAAATAACAAAAACCCTGCCGCCTCCCCTAGCTCCCGCAACTTCAGGGATCTCTCGGCACCGACCGAAGCTGGTGCCGCACCAGGCTGGGCATGCACGGTAGGGAGCTGGACAGGTTTACAAAAAGGACGGGGGTGGCGGGAACGCGGAGGCCTCTGGAGACGATGATTCACAGAAAGTGAAAAGGCACAGAACTAGCTGCAAAGTAGAGTTTTCAATGGAAAAATGAAAACAAAAGAGAAGATTTATGCTTCCAACTTGGTGAGTAGGAAGGAGACCCAGAGAAGCGTAGGAGGAAAGGCAGGTGGCTGACCAAAGCTGGGCTTACTCTCAGTCTCCCTGAGCACCCGGCGATCAGAGTCACGCGTGTTCCTGCCCCAGGCAACCTGCCCTGGACCCTGAGATACAGTGGCCTCAACAAGGGCCCCAGGTCTTTTTTTTT